ATATTTACTTTTCTTCAACATAACCTCAATTTCGGAATCATTAAGTTGCTTTAGCATACATACTTAATTTATTAAACAGCAAGGTGCATATATAGTTAAAAATTACAAAAAAAAAACGTATGAACGTAAAATCTTGATATTGGAATATTTATATTCAAAAATCATTCTTTCGCAATGTATGGCCGTCTTATGTTTAAACTTTCGATCGTACTCATGATATTAATAAAATAATATACATTTTGTTTACGGTAGGATGATGGCGAACTGGAGGAAATTGTCTACGAGAGTCCAGTATATGACCAGAACAAATTTTACTTTGCTGACCATTTTGATGACATTGCCGAATCAACTAAGCGCTGGGTAAAATCACAAGCAAAGAAAGATGATATCGCCGAGGAAATCGCTAAGTACGACGGTAATTGGGTCTGGGAGGCACCACAACGTATAGTATCAAAGAAAGATATTGGTCTTGTTCTCAAATCTAAGGCTAAGCATGCCGCTATTGCGTCAAAGCTCAACAAGCCATTCACCTTCAAGGAAGATAACCCTCTTGTAGTGCAGTACGAAGTAACTATGCAGGTAATTGAAAATCATTTCCAAACAGTAGATTCATGGCAACAGTTGTCAGACAAAGTAATACAAACTATGTACATATGTATATGTATGTATTAATGTAATCTAATTAGATTACGAGCATATTGACACTTATCTCACCCTCCATTACATGCAAACTACATACTATGATTGCACGCACACGTGTGTGTACATATAAGTATTTTAATATTGTATTGTTTCATACACAGGAGGGACAAGAATGCGGAGGTTCATACATTAAATTGCTCTCTCATGGCAAACATACGGAAGATCTCACAAAAGTAGATATAACAATATAACTTTTGTCAAATATTGAAATTATTTAACAAATGTGTGGTTGTTTTCTTTTAGTTCAACGATAAGACACCTTACACGATTATGTTTGGACCAGATAAATGCGGCAGCGACATTAAACTGCATTTCATATTCCGTCACGTTAATCCAATTAACGGAAGCATAGAAGAGAAACACTGCAAAAAGCCAAAGTAAGTTGTGGAAAACCAACAATCGGCACCCACTTAAAAACTTTAATGCTAAATATAGGCATGTACATATATACATATATGTATATGTATGTATATAGATATAAGCACTAATCACATTTATTTCCCTAATCACACAAGTTTGAAACTTACTTGTTTATGTGGCCCTAAATATTGTTCTTTATTGGTTTTACCATGCCGTGTGTGGGCGTTGCTGCTTGAAAAGCCGATATTTTAAATTTTTACTTTATGCTACTGCGTTTTATATTTGCTAAATGCAATTCATCTGCATTGTGCCTTTTGCCTTCTACTCTTTGTTGGCGACTTTATTGCCGGCTCTAGTTTTGTATTATCGCAACAACATTAATTTATTTTTTAACTTGTTAGGGATCGTTTGGAGGAACCGTTCAAGGATAAACTGCCACATCTATACCAATTAGTGCTGAGACCTGATAACACTTTTGAAATCAGCGTTGATAATAAGATAGTCAATCAGGGATCTCTTCTCTCCGAATTCACTCCGTCAGTTAACCCACCACGTGAGATTGACGATCCAGAAGATAAAAAACCAAAGGACTGGGATGAACGTGAAAAGGTAGGTAGTTGTTCAATTTAAGATTTTCACCGCAATAACAGGAAAATTGTGCCTTTATGTTTTAGATACCAGACCCAACAGCCAAAAAACCTGAAGACTGGGATGACGATGCACCACCACAAATTCCTGATCCTAGTGCAGTTATGCCAGATGGTTGGCTTGAAGATGAACCCCAGATGATACCAGGTAAGTTGAATTAAGCCAAAAACTTGGAAATGTATCTTCTGTATTAAATTTTTAAATATACCTAATTTTAAACCTTTCCTCAGATCCAACCGCCGCCAAGCCAGCTGACTGGGATACCGAAATGGATGGAGAATGGGAAGCGCCATTGATTGACAATCCAGTTTGTGAAAAAGCGACAGGCTGTGGTGAGTGGAAAGCACCTCTAATTCAAAACAAAGAATACAAGGGAAAATGGCGCGCACCGCTCATCGACAATCCAAATTATCAAGGTAAATGGGCTGCACGTAAAATACCCAATCCTGATTTCTTCGAAGATCTCACGCCTTTCAAAATGACGCCCATTGTAAGTGCAAATAACTAATTTATTTCTGATTACATATGTCGATGCTGACTAAATTAACCTTTTCTGCTATTCTGATTTTCATTTAGTCCGCTGTTGGGCTTGAGCTTTGGTCGATGTCTGACAATATTTTGTTTGACAACTTGATCATCGTTGATGATATTGAATTGGCTAGAGACTTTGCCGCCAAGACTTTTGATATCAAGCGCAAATACATCGATAAGGAATCGGTAAGTGCACCAATAAATAGATAACATCGAATAAAAGAAGGTTATTCAACTACCATTTGAGAATATGTACTAGCCTAAGCGCGATATCTTCTATTATGACCAATTAACTAAACTTTCCAAAAAATATTTAAAAAAGAAAACTCTTTGGCATCGTTTAATGAGGCGCATAAACTACAAGCCAGGCTGGTGGGCATTGTATTTCACATATTTACTCATACCTGTGGGCTGCTACGTATTTTACTTATACGGTCGTGCTAAAGAGGTGCTCATACAAAATATCTTCGTCTAATAAATGAATACTTAATTTAATTCGTCATAGAAGTAGAAAACCCACGCTGGCAAAATTTTGTATATTTAGTTAAATATATTAATATCGCATTGTTTTTGATTTGGCTTTCCATTCTGTTTTCTCTTTTCATTTGTATGTTGTTTGTTGTATACTACTGTGTTACTGTCTGCACAAAATTCGTAGGAAACCTTTTTCAATAAGATTGTAACCTTCTTTACTGAAGCCTCTTGGGTTTGGCGAGTAGCAATGGTAATTGCAGGAGCCACACCGCTATCATTCACTTTGTATCGCTTGTTCAAGAAATCCGGCTCGAAGGTAATACCATGCTAGTCTTCAGTGTATTAAGAGCTTATTTACTTGTTTAAAATTGATGTAATAACGCGGTTTATTAAATAATGCAGGAGTCTAGCTCGGACGCTGGCGCTAAGAAAACCGATGCCGTGCAACCTGACGACGTTGCCGACAATTCAGGTGGCACCGCCGAAACGGCTGTTGCAAGCAGCAGCAATGCTACGCAAAACTCTAGTCCTAAAACTAAAAAGTCTGATTTAGATGTTAAAGATGAAGCAGGTGATGACACCGCTACACCAACAGCAGCAGCTGCAAACGCTAGCAGTGATCAGAAGGATTCGCAAGATGATGATGCAGAGGAAGCCGAGGCAGAGGTATAGATATTGAATGAACGCCAGTGAGAAGCATTTTGGTTATATTTTTTGAATTTTCATTGTAGGAAGCTACGACGAAGACCGTGCGCAAACGGCGTGTACCCAAGGATCAGTCTTAAAGCGAACATTCGCAATGCATCGCATTTTCACTCAATAATTCCAAAAAATAAAATATGTTTTTAAATAAATTTATAGTAGAATGTGCAGCTGTATTTTTCAGCAAAAAATCGAAAACGAAACAAGGAACACGAATACCAATCCATGTATGTTCGTGACACTATGCTAAATGCATTTGTTTTTAGTTTAGTCTGTTGCTCCCAAGTTCTTTTTTCTAGTAAATCTCATACCAAACTACAATCATGCTACATACATACATATATGCGTTATGTGTGAATTTTCTTTTTATTTTTTTTTTTACTTGTGTAGTTTTTAATATACATGGAAGCGAAAGTAATTAGCGCGTAAAATGTGTCTGAGCAAATAGTAAGATCGGGTTTTATGTCGTCATTTTTCTTGTACATACATGTAAAAATAATGTGTGAAAACTGTCGGGACAGTGGCCAGTTTTACGGGTTGAAACTAATAATGTATCTACTATGAACAATTTACTTCAACCTGCTCTTATTTTTCAAATAGTTCTCACACTTTTACTGCGCCAAGTATTAAAAAAATAGATTTCGTATTGTTTATATGCAGTCGGATTTTCAAAAGAAGCAATATGTAAGGGGTTACTTCATAGAATCAAGTTTCTTTACCAAATAAATTCTAAATCAAATTGAGAAAATCTCCACAATTGATTAAAAAAAGGGTAGTATAGCATAAGACTAGTTGAACTGCGGAACAAGAAACAAGCATTACTTTAATTTAAAATGTACTTTATATTAAATGCGTATTTAATTGTAAACTTAATAAACGCCAACAACAATAAAGATAATAAAAAGTAAACTTTATTGATATCGTAGCATTATCTTTAAACATATTGGGTTCTCCCAAAACTAACTTAAAGAATAAATGAATTCAGTACATGAAGAATATTATAAAATTCATTAAAGAAATATATGGAATTAAGCTAAATATACATAATTTTGGTAACACTTTGAAAATAAAAAAGGTACACTATTGGATGTTTTGCGAATTACGATTTCGTCAAGCGCCAGACTACAAGATTTGCCGAAATGGTAATGAATGAGTAATGAAATTTTTAAACCGAATTTAAAATTAAGCACATATTTCTGCTAAGGAATATTTATTAAATGATTGCTAAGCGAATTTAGCATGAAATGCTAAAATTCGGATGAATCAATAGTATCTAGTTTAAAATTAACAGAACCTTTTATTCCAAGGTAAGTAAGTAGACACATCTTTAAAGGTATGATTTATTTAATTATTTTTTCTCAAAATCATATATTTCAAATTCAATTAGGTACCTATCTGGTCTAGCTAACAACATTGCTGCTGTAGATGTTCTTTCGACATAACTTATAATAAATACTTTTTAAGTTATTATACTAACAAAAATGTTGTAGTTTGATTGAAATTTTTTTTTATTAGAAAAAAAAAACCGAATCTATGCATACATACGTCGTACCCACACACATACATATGTATGCATATATGCACATGAACATATGAAATATGAAGACCTGCTTCATACTGAATGTTGCAACAGCGACTACCTTTCTGCATTTAAAAACTCAATGCTTGAGTTTACGGAGTACTGTGTTTTCTTAAAATTCTTGTGATGCCGCAATCGGTTCCTGGACCGACGCAAGTCTTCGTTTACGTCCTACACGCGTACCAGCGCTACGAGGTGTGCCCCCTACTTGTTCTACATGACTGAGATCTGTCGCCGAGGAGTTGCGTTGCGGTGCATGAGGAGCCATTAAGAGTGTCACATAGTTAAGTGGCGTTTCAGTTAGGTTGGCTGGTGTCACATTTTTCTTTTTCTTTGATTTATTGCTTTTTGCTTTGCTAACTCCTATTTTACGTTGACGTGCGCCGATGTGTCCATCCGTATTCCTGGCACCAATCGATTTCTTTTTTACTAATGAACCACTAATCGTTTTCTGTATTTTGAAACTACCCGACAATCCCCTTCCAGTTACTGTCATAAGCGTCCCATTGGAAAATAGTGTATACAAATGTGTCTTCATCATGGTATAGCGTTTGGCGCTCATTTCAATTTGATACTTTTCGATAATGTACTTCTTCAACTTCTGCAGTGAGATGCCGCGTGCGGTGTTAAGCGTTAGAATCGCTTCTTCTACCATTTCCAAGGTTGTAGGTAATCTGTGCGTGTTTAAGCGGATGCAAAATGCCTTAGAATCCATTAGTGTGGACTGTGCGATGGGCATATTTAGATGTGGAGACATTGAGGTACAAATAATTTAAATAACATTGGAAACGCTGGGAATTGATGAAGGATTGTGCCTGCGAGCCAAATACACAAAATGCTGAGAAGACAATCTAACAAAAAAAAAAAAACAAAAAACGAAAAACAGACGAAAGAAATTAAAGTAACTAGTAACGGTTTTCATTAAGGTGAGGTTACTTATTTTAATTATGTACATATCTACATATGTATGCACATTTTATTTCTTCATGGGAGCGGAAATTTGGAATATAAAAATTTTGTGCACGATCTAGGGAACAAATTATATTTATACTTAAATTTGTTCTTGTTGATTGATTAAAAACGTCATTGCAATTAAACTTTTATACTATTTTCAGACAGGCAGTTAATCGAGCAATTATCCAAGCTTTCTCAATTAATGCACTAATTAAGATCGATTTGCCATACAAAATTTCAATTATAAATTGCTCGATTGGTAATTAATTGAATGTTTAATCGAGTAAAAACTCCATTAATGGCGTATTGCAGTTCAATTAATTGCAATGAAAATTTTAGTTGCAATCAAACTTTAACTGCACACGGCAATTAATTTAATTGCAATTACTTTTTTGATAACAATGAACCTACTTATAAAGAAAATTAAAAATACGGCACAGACCTCGGAAGTGCACGGCTATCAAATCCATTTCCCACGCCTATATAGTACACATATTTAATCGTTAATTTTTAATAAAATTCACACAATGATTTCAACAATTAATATGTTAATAATATGTTAATTGCTACCAGCAATTAGTTCTTACTAGGAATGCAAGTCACTGCCGAAACTCGACCGTTCTTCCAGTTTTTTAAGATCCTTGCAGAGGTTTTTAACTTAGCACTTTATTTAACTTGTAATGTACAAAATTACTTACCGGAAAATCTCCTGCTGTAGAACTAAAACGCGACTTAATTTTTTTTATATCTTTGAATTCTTTGGGGGACTTTGGCAGGACTTGAATATACCCGATACATACCAGTTTGGCGAAAAATTCCGATAGTTTAATACTTATCGATAATGCAATGAATTTCAAAACAATAAACACATTTTTACGTTTACGTATAAAACCTAAAGTATTTATCTTTTCGAAAACAGATTTTATCTAATCTATTACCAAGGTTTTATGCACATAAACATGATACCAAAATATTTTAATCAACACTAGTTTAATATTTACATATATTTAAAGGACTGCCAAATTAACACTTGGCAGCCATACAACGATTGGTTGGATTAGATCAAGGATCATCTTCCCAATCACTTCACAAATTTTCACAACTTTTAATCAATGTTTGCGCTGATCACTAAAAAATTATTTGTAATATCTGTAAATGAATAACATAAAACAAGTAGTTATATATTTTTTTTTAGGGACCAAAAATAATCGTTATCATTAAGAATTTTAATTTAAAAATCATTGCATAATCGTTATTTTTCGATTTATATAATAACGATAATTTTTAATCGTTATTTTATGATTTTTATTTTTTCGATCACATTTTCAGGGTTAATCTTGTCTAATCCTAGAAATCCAAAAAAACTTGTAGTATTGACAATTAAAGCAACAAACGTAGACCTAAGATAACCTCAAGAACCACAAAAAAAGTTCAGCATTAAAATGAAAACAAAAATTCGTTCATGAAAAATGGCGACCAATTAAAAAAAAAAATTATTGCATTTGTTTGAAACTCTTAACCGCCATTTTGAATTTTAAAAATCAGACATCAGATTCGTAATTAGCAACTCCAGAAACTCACTGGAAACGAGTTTCCTTGGCAATGCTTAAAACGTTCAGTATCAACGCTTTCGTTTTAGTAATTTTTTGCAAATTTGATCGCTACATTGGATCCGGCATTTTGAATTTTAAAAAATTGACTCAAGACACATAATTGGCGACTCCAAAAACTCTTGAGCGCCGGTTTTCGAACAAATCCTACCATTTTTTTTTTTTTAATTGATCGCCAATTTCGATCCGCCATTTTGAATTTTGAAAAACGGACTTCAGATTCCTAATTAGCAACCCCAAAAAGCCCCTGGTAACAAATTCCAATTCATGACAACGCGTAAATCGTTCAGTATCAGTATAACATGTGATTGATAAAGCAGCCGATGAGCTTTAGTGAAGGATTTGCCTCCAGTTAGCGTTAACTGGACATGGTGCAAACGGCCCTTAGTGTGTCCGCTGGACACTAGGGTTAACTCAACAAAATTCGACAGCTGTATAAAGCTCTAGAAACGTACAGCTATCGAAATTAATCGATGTCGAATTTTGTTGCGTTAACCCTAGTGTTGGGAACGGAAGCGTTCAGACAAAAGATGACATTGCATCAAAATCCGAGCTCTGATTATAATCGATTAGAAATACTTTTACTCTCATTACAAAAATAAAAATCTAATTTATTACGCACTCGAGTTGCAAAAAAGTAGAATAAAGACTTTAACAAGACACTGCGAGTAAAGCTAAGTTTGTTTGTAGACTTTAAACAAAAATTATATATGTACTTATTTGTGCCCAACATTTTGTTTATAATCTTAAAATAAGAGAAATTAAAAAAAAAGAATTTCAGATGAATTAACTGAGATGGAAAATTTCCCTTGAATTTCATATTCAATCAGACAAAGGGGAGGCTCTTCATAATGGTAGTTGAAGCCAATGTTGTTAAGAAAACATTTTGTTACGAAATTAAATTGGATCGCAAAATAACGAAAGTCATCACAGGGGAGCACAATGCACTAGACATACATACATATGTACATACATAGTACATATGTATATACGTATGTACGTAGAAAAATATTCAATATTAGGTGGCTTGAAAGCCAACTTCGTACCAATATAAGTCAGATGTACATACATAAACTATATATAGATGTACGTTAGGGTGGTTCAAAAAAAAGTAAAGTCGGAATTTTAATGCTCTCACCCTATAGGATTTTTCTATACAAAAAAAAAATATACCCATGTTTTTTTTAACCTAGAGGTCGCTCTAAGCGCTCAAAGTTTTCCATGTATTTTATATGAAAAAAAACTACTTTTCGTAGAAATGCTATAGAATTAAAGAAAATCTATATTTTTCGATGGGAAAACTCTGGTGCCCTTCAGGGGACTAAGAAGAATAATACCAAATTGTTTATTTAACTACTTCCGATTATTAACTATTTTTTCTAGGACCTCTAAAAACCTCAAAAAATGCCCTGAGGGTCCTATAAAAAATCACTAGTATTGAAAAAATGCTATAATAAACCATTGGATATTATTATTTCGGCTGTCTGCTGAAGAGAAACAAAATTTTCCGATCGAAAATTATGATTTTCCAGAGCCCTATACCATTTCTATGCAAACTTTTTTTTGCCCCATGTAAATGAAAAATCTTGAGCGCTTTGAGCGATTTCTAAATATTTAATGATTTCAAAATGAAAATACAGGTGTATGTTTTTTCGGTATAGAACAATAGTAGGGGGTCAGAGCATTAAAATTCCGACTTTACTTTTTCACATGCATTTTTGGACCACCCTAATATATGCGTATGTAACTATGTGCATACATATTTGTGTATTAACAGTTGTAAGGATATGTTATTCACAAAATATTTTTATTATAAATTTCATTGCACTACAAACAATGTGCGCTCTTATCTAAAAGTGAATAAAAGCAGGAATAATAGCAAAAAAAAATATTAATTCGTATGACTGCTTCAAACCCTTAACTGTTTATCTAAAAATAAAAATAAGATCAAATATAACAATAGACCCACACACGAGTGCACACATTCGCGAAATTAAGGGTAAAAGGTTGTTTTCTTATGTTGTGTATTGCCTAATTGGAGATTCGAGGCAAACCACATGGGAAAGTATATATGTATAAGTATAAAACATATAACAGACGTATGTACATAAATATAGCAGCAATAAAATTGCTGATAAAATCTCTCTGGTTGGCCGGTTAGAAGTCATTGAAATATATTTTTAATTTTGTTGCCAGTAAATACTTATGTATATATACATATTTATATAACACGTATGTTTACATATATGTATGTATGTATGTATGTATGTGTTTTTGTAAGTGGACTTTTCAATTTGAAAATTTAAGCAGCTTAGCTTAAGTGGGTTGGACCACACGCACCGATTAGGAAATCCCAAAAATGTGAACAAATAATTTACTTACTAGCTATTTGTGTCAGCAATTAAATAAACAAACATGCCACAAGTAATTTTAAAGCAAAAACAAAACCGACTTCAATTCTCATATAAAACTTTAAGATTGTATTTATTTTTTTTTATTGATCCAATGATCGGATTTAAACCAAATTAGAATGGGACCACCAGTGAGGTAACACCTTTCCTTAAAAAAAAAAAAAATAATTATAGAAATCGGTGAACGTGGTCCGAAGTTATGCGGCAATATGGCGGTAATATAAAAAGAAAAAAAGATATTCCGACGAACTGATAACCTTCCTTCTATTTGTGAAGTCGGTTAAAAAAGATGAGAAAATGCTGATTATGCATTTTCTACAAGCAGTCCATTTAAGCTGAAGAAGGAATATAAATCACATCAATTAAATAATATGTATAAAACGCCAGTTGATAAGTTTGATGTCTACTTGAAACAAAGCGAGATAAGACATCACTTTCGTCATATATCAGCTGTTCGTGTATGTGTGATAATACCCAACCGCAATGCACAGTGGGCCAGAAGATTGAAAAAGTGTCCAAAAGTCTTGCTTCACTGTTTAAACGTGAAAAAATCAGAATAAAATATTTTTATGGTATATGTAGTTACGGTGACCATTCGTACCAATTTTGGCGGAACAGTACCGATTTTAAAAAAATTGCCCCGCTGACGTATAAGTGTCCCGATTTTTAATATTTGTACTGATTAAATGCCGATTTTCAGTGTTTTCGTTGTGACTACTTGTGTAGCATATGTGTTGCTTTTCTTAAAGTGGCTCTGCAAAATTAAAAAAAATACACATACACACAAAACATAGGGTTAGTTTATAAAACATAATAAATAAAGTGAAGTAAATCATATAATCTTGACAAATATTTTTAGGCTCTGTAAGGAAACTTTGTAAACATTTATAAGCAACATTTCATAATGGTCAAACCAAAAATCATAGACTTTAAGTTTTAGCCCCACCCAACTTAATTCGGTCTACAAAGAGTTAATTAAATAGGAGTCTCCTTGTACTCTGACCCAATAACCATTTTTCGGACAAACGTGGTAGGACTCTCGTTATTGTAAAGAACATAAAATATAAGGGAGCCATAAACATAGCATCCTTATTTTCTATGATATTTGGTTATGTTTTATGCTGTAAAATTGGTTCTCTTGCTACATTGCAATCTATTATTCTTGCTTAGTTTTTTTTAAGGTTTTTATAATTATTTAATTTCTTATCAAACCATACTAACTTGACCTTAGTGAAATTATGAAAAATAATACTAATTCCTTAAAAAAATTCATGGATATGAAAAATATAATGTGTGTATACATTTTTCCGATAACTTTTCAAGTTTTTTTCACTTTCCTTTGTTTTAAACAAAACTGTATTATTATTTAAAAGACAAAATTGTATGTTTGGATTCGATGTTTTAGGAATTGCTCAATTTTTGTCCACAGAAATCTGGTCACCATAGGTATAACCGTGGTATATCGAAAGTACCACGTGTTCATAAATTTTAGTTATTTGAAGTTTTTACATCTTTAAACGTATTAAAAATTCAACGGATTTGTTCTATTTTTTCCCATTCTACTAAAAACCTGCCATATATACATATATATGAAAATGTATAATTATTTATAGTAAAACAAAAGCCGTTTGAAGAGATTTAAAAAAATATTTTGGAGTGGGGTTGCCACCTTTTTTGAAAAGTTACAATTACGTTTGTTAAAAAAAATGTCTGCTTATTTAATATTACAATATCAGTATTAAACGGAAGGTGTTTGAACAAGCTTTAACACTAACATATATTTGAGTAGGCTTGCCAATCTATCAACTAAGGCTATTGGTTTTTATTACTATTTAATTTAAATTATTTAAAGAAATTGAAAAAAATGATGGATTTCACGAACTCTTTAAAAATTTAACCTCTAATTATAAGCCTCCAATTTTTAAATTATTTACTTTTTTTTCCTATTTTTTTATTTTATTTTATTTTTTCAATATTTATTTAACAGAAGAAAAACTCAACAACTTTATAACAACAAAAAGTTTTCATTAGTTCCAATGTAATTTAAGTCAACGACCAATTAGATTATTTAATTTTTTTTTTACTTTTTATCAATTTTTGTTTTGTTAATTATTTAGTTAACGCAAGAAATTTAAGCCGCCGGCGATTAGATTATTTTTGTCAAAGAGACAAAAAGGATTATATGGATTCTGAATTTGTTTGTTAAGAACGTTACAAAATGTGTCAAATATCAAAATATTTGGTTTTTGCACACTTCAAAGTATTTAGATTAAATAAGTTCATTATTTATTCTGTCCCACTGTGAAATGGTGCGAAGAGAATAAAAGTTCGATGCCCTTTGCTCATTCATCCGATGAGCAGTTTCTTTTGTTAAGTAGGATGCAGAGTCGATTGCGAAAGTTCTCGGGCGTGGTTTGTGACTATAGCTTCTTGAGGTCAAACTTGCGTCGCGCCTATCACATCGTTACCAGTGGGATTTTTTGTCTTTAATCAGGGGGCGCCTAAACGGTTTAGTGAATGTTTCGATGCTGGTGCATGGTACTACTAAATAACCACGAAATAACCATATTGCGAAATCTATGAGCCCCTTTGCGTTGTCGGAGTTGTTGTCATGAAGTTTGAAATTTCACACTGACGGACCAAATATGCATATTTTTCATGCGGATTGTGGCAATTCGTTCGCAGATGCTGTCAATGCTTCCGCCCAACTACAAATCTCAAACCAAAATTCTGCTCCGTCTAATGGCAGCATTACTTGTTCTGTGGTGATGTTATCCTGGTATTTCTCTGGCGCATATTCGCAAAGCGTAGTCCTTATGCCGTGTGACGGGTTGGCAAAGTTGGGTGTGGTACAACAAGGGGAGGGAAGACTCTCTGGACTAACGAAAACCGCGACATTATTGTGAAGAAAATTGTTGAAGAGTTTGCTTAAAATCCGAGGATTTTGTTACTAGCATAAAAAGGATTAAATAAAAAATTTTAATTTTTTATGGGCATATTAACCCCTCTCCTATCCTCGTCGATTAAAGTTAAATGTTGCCGCAACAAAACGTTCCTCGTGTAAACAGCGTATTAGCAGTTAAAAATATAATCATAGCGCTTCGGTGCTTTAGTATCTTCGGGCGCAAAAGCGTTGCAAAACTAATTGATAAACTAGCCAATTCGGGTGAGCGAAAATTACATACATGTACATATTTTACTTCTTTCGCAATTTATATTTTAGTTACTTGCTCTTAATCATCTAGTTATGACACTTTACATTCCATTCTCTCTAACAATTTTTTTAATTATTTACCTGCACGTGTGAGGTGTTTTCTCACTCCCGTTTAGGAATGTTAATCCCGGGATTTCGGGATTTGTAATTTGCACTGATTGCAATAATAGAAACTTCTTTTCTTGACCAGTATTGGCTATATTTATTCTTTTATTTAATAATTACTATTTTTTTCATAAATGTATAGCTCATTATACATATAACAAAGTGAGATAGTAAATTTTACACACAAAAATCAACATATTCGTGAAACCATGGGCCAAATATTGCAAAATTGCGTTTTTAGCTTTCCACCCTGACGTAAGTAATTCCAAAAGGATTTAAAAAATTCAGTGAAATGTGCTTAGAGAAGAAGTATGGGCATCAAGTTAAAGCAGAAACTCTATAGAATTTAATCAGTTTAAATTTTTTTTTGTGCATATGGGCTAGGAAGTATTGAAAATATCCTTTTAAATTTTTTTTCTTGAAATTTCACAATATTTGTTTTTGAAACTCGATAACATCCTCGAATTTCGTCCTTCCAACTTTATCAGCTAAAAAAAAATTACCTACTCGTGCTTGTGAATACAAAAAATTTTAATTTTTTTTTCTAAAGAAATTTTCTTCCTTGTCTCCTTTTATTTGGTATCCATATTTTTATTCATCAATGCATTGAATTTTTTAAATAATTTTTGGAATTATTCATATCTTTGAAATAACAAAGTCCTTTAAAATAAATCCTGCCGTCATAAGAGAGAAAAAATAAAAACGGCGCTTTAAATAAAAAGTAGGTGTCAAACCCATTTATTTATTATTTATTTTATGGTAGAAGACATCTCAAACTATTTAGAAGCAATTTTTTCGATTTGTTGAAAAGTAATGAATATCCGGGATTGTGGTGACGACATCCCGAAAATTCCGGGTCCGTAAAAAGCCAAAAAATTAACATCCCTACTCCCGTTGGTATAAAACTCGTAAGTAACGCATTCACATATCTAGTACAGTGGCAGTGGCGAGATGCCTTGGATTTTATTTTGGCTCACTATGATCACTGTCTATTCATTCAATTCAGCTGACGACCGCATTTTTAATGGCATACAGGTGAATGTCAAAGTCAGCCCTTATATCGTCTCGGTGCAACTATCGGGTGCGCATATATGTGGTGGCAGTATAATTAGCGAAAGCGTAGTGTTGACTGCGGCGCATTGTTTCCAAAAGGAGAGCAACGCAAACAAGTACAGCATTCAGTATGGAGTTACACATATTGGCGGCACAGAAAATATAATTCGGGTATCAAGCTTCCGCAGACACCCGAAATTTAATGACTTAAGTAAAGACTACGATGTCGGTTTGTTATACCTCGTCGCAGCCATTACAGCTTATCGCCCCATCGCATTAGCTGGTTATAGACCAAGAATTGGAACTGCAGCTCTGGTTTCGGGCTGGGGCGTAGTCGAGGAAAATGGTGAGCTACAGACGAGTTTACGTGCAGTCACCGTGCATACTGTTAGGCAATTGGACTGTTCAAGAAAGTACAAACCAGTTAGAATTACACCACGAATGCTGTGCGCTGGCGAGCCTTTTGGCGGTAAAGATGCGTGTATCGGTGACTCTGGTGGTCCACTGGTGGTAGATGGTGTACAAGTGGGAATCGTATCGTTCGGCACGGGTTGTGGGCGTAGAGAGTTCCCGGGTGTCTACACCAACGTTGCAATGTTGCGAAGTTGGATCAGAACTTATATGATGCGGAAGCCGGGATTGTATTAGTTAACGCTTTTAAAGCTTGACTTTTCGAGGACACGAAGATAGTAAATAAAATACTAGTTAAGATTAAGTAGCTTTTCTGTTGATATTTGGTATCCTAATTTAAGTCAGTTTTAACTATGAAAATAAATCAGTTTTTAAATGTTTAAAATATTTTGTCACTGACTAACTTTAGCGTCTAATAAGGAGCGTTTTCTCAAGCCGTTTTTTCAAAATTTATCTACCCTTTAAACACAACTTTGGTTCTAAAAAAATGTGTTCGAAGGGCAGATATATTTAAAAGGCTACTTGGGAAAACAAATAATTTGACATTTATGCGTGTGAAGGCTTTTGCCAAATGTCATTTCGTATACGAAAGCAATTTGTCATAGAAATGCTGTTCGGAAAATATGACTTGCAACATACATGCGCAAATGTATGTTTTAACTATGTAATTACATTAAAAACAGAAATATTGAACTTCCTCATAGGTACGTACTAGGGATGTTAATTTTTTCGCTTTTTATGGTCCCGGGATTTTCGGGATGTCGTTATCATAATTTCGGCATTCCGGGGTTAGTCCCCGGATTTAGATATTCATTACTTTTCAACAACTTAAATCGAAAAAATAGCTTCTCTCTCTCCTACCATAAAATAAATATAATAAATAAATGGGTTTGAGACCTACTTTTTATTTAAAGCGGCGTTTTTATTTCTTATCTCAGACGTCGGGTTTGATTTTAAAGGATTTTGCAATTTTAAAAATATGATTAATTCCAAAATTATTAAAAAATTTAATGCAAAGTAGAATATAAATGTGTGTACCAAATTAAAGAGAACATTTCTTTAGAATTAAAAAAAAAAATACAAATTTTTTTGGATTCACAAGGACGAATAGGTAATTTTTTAAGCTGATTAAGTTAGAAGGACGAAATTCGAGAATGTTATCGAGTTTATATAAGTCCTTAACATATAATTTTTTCAAAAACAAATATTGCGAAATTTCAAGGAACAAATTTTAAAAGGACACTTTCAATACTTATCAGTCTTTATGCACCAAAAATTTAATCTGTTTAAATTCTAGGAATTTCTTCTTTAATTTGATACCCATACTTCTTCTCTAAGCATATTTAACTGCATTTTTTAAATCATTTTTGAATTACTGACGTCAGAGTGAAAATCTAAAGAAGCAATTTTACTATATTAAGCCCATGGTTTCGCGAATATATTGATTTTTGTGTGTAAAATACACACACTTATGTAGTCAGAAGTGGGTGATGCCATCTCCATTTTACAAAAATCAATAATCTTGTGTCTTGTTGAGATATTATTGTAAGTTGGGGTCTTTAGTTATTGAAATATCGGAGTATTCGTATATCTGAAATTTACCGTTATATAGCGAGTGGCGGTAATTTTAGTCCGATTTTCAACGTATAGCTTTTTTCCGCCGAAGTTGATAAATAGGCGTAAGTGGGCGGCGCCACGTCCATTTTCCAAAAATTTCCCTAAATTTAATTTTTTGCTAGAAGGTCATTACTTATATTGATTTTGAGTAAATTAGCTTAAATAGTTACTAATTTATCGCAGTTTTCCTATTTCTGCAAATTACCGTGATCCGATCTTTGTCACTTTAAATAGTACGAAATTTCATGTTCCTAGCTGCATAAATTGAGGTATTATAACGGAAAATCTCATTTCGGAACAATCGGTTGTGTGGGAGCTATATGTTATTGCGGTCCGATTTTTCCAGATGATTAATACATTCTAAAAGTACACTCACTCGGCTCAGCTCGACGTTCTGATCATAAACATAAGTATACATTTTCATGGGTCTATCTCTTCATATTCTGGCACTAAAAAACATCGGACAATGATGAATGGTATGAAAACCAACTAATGAGACTGCTATACTTCTTACACTGGCATTCTATACTTTACATACATTGTATTCTTCTATGTATTTCAATTTCATCAAACATTTTAAACGTCCAAGAAAACGAGTAAACTTTTTAATAACTATTCCAATAAAAGCAGAAAAACCTCAAAGAAAAAAAAAAAAATAGAACAAAGAAGAAGACAAACTAATGATGCCTTGCAACAACGAAGTATGAAAAACCCATAGCCCCAATTGGTGGCGGTCTTCCTTAGCTGATGTTTGCAGAACACATATGGTTTTAATATGTCTTTCAACGCATATACTAATACATACATACATATATAGACGGATATACAGTACTGGCCAATACAATATCACTCCCATTTCAAAGAGATATTGTTTGCCACTCAAGTTTATTTATTAATTTTTAGTAATTTTGAATTAAAATAAGGTTTATTCCCAAATAAAATTCATTTAAACCGAAGTTTAAAATTTTCTAAAAGACTACAAAAAAATGCAACAAATTTTTTTCTCAGATGTGCAGGATTTTTTTTTGCGTGCACAGTGCATTCAATTTTAGTCTAATAATTTGCAAATTTCCAGTGGCTAAGAATTACCATTGATTTTTTTAAATTTTTTTCGCCGAAGGTGTTGCGGGTTTCTTCCATATAAAAATAAATTGTATTTATTCGTTATATGGAAGTGAATGCGACAAAAAAAAATCTAAAAAATCAACGGTAATTTTTAGCCACTTGAAACTTGCACATTATTAGACTTAAATTCAATGGGCTATAAAACTGTGTACTCGAAAAAATTCTAGCGCTACTGAGAAAACATTTTGAAATTTGGGCGAAAATTTGTTGCATTTTTTGTAGTCTTTTAAAAAGTTTTAAACTTTGGTTTATGTGAGTCTCGTTAGAGAATTAACTATTTTTCAATTCAAAATTCTTAAAAATAAATCATTAAACATAAGAGGCAAACAATATCACTTTGAAATGGGGGTGCTATAGATATGTCCAATACTGTATATAAGTATTCATACTCCACTTAGTTTAGGCACATACATACATACATATGTACACATTCAATATGTCTGTCATACTACTCAAATCAAGAAAAATGTTTGATGCTGACCATGAGGCAGTCTGACGTTATACATTGGTGTGCGGCTTAACGATGAAGGAAGTGAGTTCGAAACGCAGCCCAGTGTGCCACCATATATGTACATGCGAGAGGCATACCAAAAGCAAAATAACTACATATATTTTTGAGCGATCAGTCTGGCCTAGAAGAACGGCAGTCGAAGAGGCATACACAATGACAGTCGTCCTTGGAATAATGCTTCCCTGTGGGGAAAATCCATAGTTCTGAACTGGTGCGCTTCTAGTTAACCCGCCAAACAAAAATGCATATAAAGTAAACAAGCTCCCCGCTGTATCCCTTTTTCGGTAGTTCGGAACTAATTCAAAAATTGCCAGATGAGATCTAGTTCGTTCTGCATCCCTTTTTCGAACCAGTTAATGGTTTTTTGTGTTTTTTTTTTAGTAGTAGTTACTATCGGTCTGGTTGGTTTTTGGTGATAAATATCTAGTAGGGAACTTCAAATTTGGTTCCCCAGTTCGGGGTTTACCCTACAAGTATGCTTGTACATACATACATATGTACATATATATCTATGTATGCATACAAAGTCTATCTCCAGCGATTTATTGCTGACACATGTCGAATATGCTGTTTTGTTTTGCATTTTTCTTGCTGAAGAGATTTGTGTCACACCCACCCGCAACTAAGAACCTCAATGGCTATGCCAAATGAGACAAAAACCTATTTTCTTTCTTAACTGTAGCGTCTTGAAGTAGAGATTCCTTTCTCATACACACACACACACATACAAACGATACTTTATGGTACAACAATTGCCCTCAGACACATTAGGATATGAACCTTCATACAAAAGCAGCTATTCGTCTGCATCTGTGAAATTGTGGAATTGTTATTTTTTTGCAGATATTACAAATGCACCAGTAGTTACAGTAAACAAGACTATGAAAATGACAAATCGTTTGTTGACATTTTACTGGCGAATTTGTACATATGTCTGTGTGTTTGCGGTCATTTGTCTCAGAATTAATGTTGCTGCTCCTTGGAGAATTGTTGCTGCTGCTGCTGCTGCTGCTGCCACATTTTGCTTCCTAATGCCGTTGAAATAACTTTTGCTGCTACTGAATGTTGACTTGCTCTACGCTTCTCTGCACTTCAGCCCAAAGCTGCTTAGAATACATTATATTTATACATAAATATATAATACATACATATGTATGCACATATCGTATATGAAAATCATTTAGTCAAGTGTAATAAAGTTAAGAGTGAATTTTAAGTGCATTTAAATATATAAAACTATTCAAACTATTCATATGAATCCTCTTTAAAATATGCTTTTGTAAAGTTTGCTTGCAGCTGAGGAGAGCAATTCATACAAAATGTGTGCGCTGCAGGATTAATTGGAGTTGAACTAAGAAGGTTGCTTATGTCTGAAAGATCAGCACCAATTCATGTTAAGCGCAGTAGCTTTTTAGTTAGTTTAACTACAAAAGAGTTAGTAAACTTGGAAAAAAAAAATTATAAGGAGGAGGTTATCAGTTCGTCGGATTTTTTTTTATGTATGTTACGGCATAACTTTGGACCACGTCAACCGATTTCGATAATTCTTTTTGCATCGGAAAGGTAGTATCAGAGGTGGTTCCATACTAATTAGGTGTAGATCCGATCATTGGATCATGAAACATATATATATATTTATATTTCTTTATACGAGAATTGAAGTCGATTTTGTTTTTTTGCTAAACATTACTTGTTTTTCGTGGTGGTACCTCAGAGGTGGTTCCATATTAATTTGGTATTGATCATTGGATTATGAAGAACTTAACGGTATTCTCAAATTTATATGTGAGAATTGAAGCCGGTTTTGCTTTTTGCTTAAAAACTACTTGTTTTCTAACACATCGAGTTTTACGTTTATTGATGACATGCTTATTTTTGAATTTTTAACAATTTTCATGAAAAGTCAAAAATTAGTCAGCCTATAAGTGATTAAATATTTTACTTAGAAAACAAATACTATAACTTCAAAATATCCCTAAAGAGACTAAGTAAATCAGAAAAACTTAAAGAAATTCGAAGTTACCGCTAGTATTGCACGGTGGCCCCAAGAAAAATTAAAAAAGTAATTTTATCGGAAAATTTACGTAATGGAATTTTTTTCGTAGTTTAGTGCCGAATTCCTACGCAAAGTGCTAATTAGTTTTCCAAGCGAGAAGCCATAGCATGCCTGTGTTATTTTTAAAATTAAACTAAAAAAAATTTATTCTATAAAAATATCTTATCTTACATTCAAATTGACTTTATTTGTAGGTGTACCTGGAAAAAATTCCACATAGGATAAAAATAGTACCATGCTGTTCAGAAAAATATTTTAATCACAATAAGAAAAGGTTCTATCTCTCAATTTGGCAGCAAATATTGGCAATTACCGCATCGCTGCTACTAGCACTGACGCTCTGACTGACATTTCTACACATTGTGTATTCTTCCACAATATTTCTACATTTGTCTATTAATCGACAAATTTGTGCGTCAGTGTTAGTAGTAGCTGCGATGCGGTAATTACTAATATTTGCTGTCAAATTGCGAAATAGAATATTTTCTTATTTTGATTAAAATATCTTTC